ATGTTGAACTGCCCATCTACTTATTAATATCAGGAAAACTAAATACATCGCGAATTAGAGAAACTAAAAACTAGAAGAGAAATAAATCTAAAAAGTCGACAATTTCAGATATTTGGGACTAAGAATTAACATAAGTGGAGAATTCATCTATAAGGAAATGTTAATTAGAAAGGATATATGAGTAACTTAAATCTGGAAAAAGAATGGACTAATAATTAGCTGTTGAATCCAAAATATACTTAAACAAAATCTAAATTGCTATATATTAATAAATGAATTATTTTGATAATATCAATTAATCTTCATTAAAAAACCAAACCCAAAAATAAGATAGTTTAGAAATTGATGGATTTGATTGGGATTATTCAAATTATCTAAATAGAAAAATAAGAACTAAATTATTAATTTCTCACACAAATGAATAGGATCTAAAATACATATAAAATGGATCTATCCTGAAAATGTTTTGATATTCTTATTTATAAATTTTAGAGAAAAGATTTAAAGCACTTATTAGAAACCTGAGCTAATTAAAAATTTAGAATAGGTCAAACATCTGCAATGGATTGGGGAATATGGAAAAAACAACTTAAAGGTTGGTAATTGGAAAGTCATTTGGAAGGGTGAAAATTTAGCGGATGTTGGTGGATAATACTCAACTAATGGTAAAAAATAAGGAAAATGGAAAGAAACAATTTAGAATTATTGGACGTAATTAGAAATCAAATTCTTTATTAGCAAAAATTAAGTATATTTTTTGGGGGAATATGAGAATGACCAAAGATAAGGCGTTTGGAGGTATATTTATGATGGAAAATACATGTATATTATGAAGTAGTAATTTAATTTAGAGGTGGAGGAGAGTATAATTTGAATGGTGAAAAAATTGGAATATGGGAGGAGTTGAGTGAAGCATTTTGGGATTTTCAATAAATCATTTATATTGGAAAATATTAAAGAGGGAAAAAAATTGGGAGATGGAAGAATTCTTTAATAAATGGTAATGATCTAGATACAAATTAACAAATGTAAAATATTATCAAATACAGGTTTAGTTGGGGTGGAGAATATGATGAAGAAGGTACAGGCATTAAAAGTGGAAAATGGATTGAAATAAGTTAAATGTTTGAAAAACTATCATAAGTCATAGATATTGGCGAATATAAAAATGGTCAAAAGTCTGGTATATGGAATTATTTTTATAGAGATGATTACAAAAAATAATTTGAATAGATGTATAAGATTATTTCATTAAATTTTTTAGAGGTGGTGGGTCATATGATGAATAAAATTTAGGAATAAAGAATGGATTATGGATTGAATTGAGCGATGGGTTTGAAAAACAATCTTAAGTTATTCATAAAGGAATATATAAAAATGGTAAAAAATTTGGAAAATGGGAAATTTTGTATAGAGCGAATGGAATGGAACAATTTTAAAAGATGTTAATATTTATTCAACATATTTATAGTGGTGGTGGATTATATGATTTGTAAGGTGAAGGTGTTAAGAATGGTTTTTGGATTGAATTGAGCTAAGATTTTACATATTATTCTTAAGTGACTTATTGTGGAGAATATAAAAAAGATAAAAAAGTTGGTAGATGGGATATTTGGTTTAATAATGGAAGTAATTAAAAGATGTATCATTTATTGAAAATTTTAATTTAGTGGAGGTGGATAATATTTGGAAATTAATGGAATGAAAATTGGAAAGTGGATTGAGTTGAGTGATGGGTTTTATAATGAATCTTAAGTTATTTTAAATGGTGATTATAAAAACGGTAAAAAAGTTGGGATATGGAACATTTATTATAGATAGAGAAATGTAGATTTTTTTAAATAGATGTAATTGCAACATCAACTAAAATTTTTAGTGGTTGTGGATTATATGATAAAGGAGGTGAAGGCTTTAAGAATGGTATGTGGATTGAATTAAGTCCTACTTTTGAATATTATTCGCAAGTTATCTATTATGGTGAGTATCAAAAAGGTAAAAAAGTTGGGAATTGGAATACTTGTTTTATTGAAAAGGACTTATTTACTAGTTTTAATTAAAAATAAATGTAAATAAAGAAATAAAATCTTAGAGGTTTAGGTTCATATGATAAAGATGGAAATGGCATGAAAATTGGAATTTGGATTGAAATTAGTGATGGATTTTGGGATAACTCTCAGATCACTTATAAAGGTCAATATAAAAATGGTAGAAAAGTTGGTAGATGGAACACATATTGGATATGGGATAAATAAAATAAATAGATGTAAAATATTGATTGAATAAAATTGAAGTGGTGGGGGATCTTATGATGATTCAGGAGATGGGATTAAGATAGGAAGGTGGATTGAGCTAAGAGATGGGTTTTATAATTTATCGTAAGTTATTTATATTGGTGAATATAATAAAGGTAGAAAAGTATCTAGATGGGATATATTGTATAGGGAATATGGGAAAGAAGATTTTGAATAAATGTAAAATATTCAATAACTTTTCAGCGGTGGAGGAACATATGATGAGGAAGGATTGAAAATTGGGAGTTGGATTGAATTGTGCGATAATTTTGGAAATGGGTCCTTATAATCCTAAATCATATATAGCGGTTTATATTAGAATGGATAAAAAGTGGGATAATGGTTTGAAAATAAAATAAATAATAAAGGTTGTGGAATGCGATATGATTAGGATTGAGTAATATCAAGAAAAATATTTGTTAAACAGATACATTAATTTATTAGTCGAATTTATTGAATTTCTTTTGAAATTAAGATACTGTTCTCTTATTTTGTTTATAATTACATATAGCTAACTTGAATAAATACAAAATAAAGTATGTAGATCTTATTAAAAATTTAGATATTTTTTTCTTTTTTATATATAATTCTCTTATATATTTTGAATATTTTTGAAATCAGTCTGGCTGTTTTATAAAAAAACAAGTAAACCAAAAAGAAAAATTCGATCTGATAAATTTATTTCGATTTTTATGATTATTTTTTAATTTAATGATTGAAGTAATGATAAATGCAAACAGGCCATTAAAACGAATTATTTAATTAATTTTAATATATTGAAAGAGTATTATTAATTTATTATAATAATCTTGGCAAAATCAAAATCTGATTTCGTTATTTGAATATGAAGAAGATTAAATAAAATGACATCGAACTAGTGAGCCAACACCAATTTCAATTTGAGTTCTGAAATTCCATATTTAATAAATTAAATTTTTCAATCAATATTTGCATTTTCTATTTTGAAATTCAAGTTATATTATTGTAAAAACCTGATGAGTGTAAATTACAAAAATTAAGTATTTGTGAAATCAGATTATGTTTATTTATTTTATTAGATAGAATCATTAATACATTTAAATTACTAAAATTTTTGATTATCTTATACATCATACTTACTCCCGATATTCATACTTAAATACTCAAATTATTTATTCATTTTTGCTTTTAAATGCTATAATAGATAAGTTGATTATATAAAATTCTATATAATTGAGTATTTTTATTACAATAAAAGTTTGTTATACAATATAAATTTTTGGATAATAAGTAGTTTTTAATTTTTATTGGCTTAAATTAGCTTAAGAATTCTTAATATTATCGCCACTATTCCTAATGTTGTTGCTATTTTAGAATTAAGTAAACTATTATTCTTCCTCAATTAGATTATTAAAAAATAGGATTGATTTATTTATTACATATTATAATTA